GGGCTACAAAGTGAGTTCCAGGACAGTCAGAACTGTTACACAGAGAAACTCTGTCTCGGAAAGAAAAGAATATGTCTCTGTGTGGGTATGTGCACATGAATGCAGGTACCAGAGAAGAACAGAAGCATCAGATACCCTTGGGGCTGGAATCCTAGGTCATTGTAAGTCACCAATGTGGACACTGGGAGTTGAACTTGGGCTCTTTGCAAAAGCAGTATGTGTTCTTAATTGCTGGACATCTCTCCAGCTGTGGGGCTCTGTGGGCGTCCATCTCCGACCTGCTCCCACCTTTTGAAGGGTTCTTGGGTGGAGGAAAGAGGAATGAAGAAATATTAGGTAGAAAGATATGTGATGATATATTGTGTACCCTAATAAAATTTGCCTTAAGATCAGAGAACAGAACAAGCCACTAGATTAAATAGAGGCCAGGCAGTGGTGGCACACCTTTAATCCCAGCACTTGAAATCTCATGCCTTTGCTTGGGAAGCACACATGCTTTTAATCCTAGCACCAAGAAGGAAGTGATATGGCTGGGCAGAGAAATGTATATAAGGTGTGAGGAGACAGAAACTAAAAGCCTTGACAGGCTGAGGAGTCCTAGAGGTAAAAGGTGGCAGTGGCTTGTTCCTTTGTCTCTCTGATCTTTCAGCATTTACCCCAATATCAGGCTCTGGGATTTTTTTGTTTGTTTTTGGGTTTTTTTTTTTTTTGTTTTGTTTTGTTTTGTTTTGTTTTGTTTTTCGAGACAGGATTTCTCTGTGTAGCTTTGCGCCTTTCCTGGAACTCACTTGGTAGCCCAGGCTGGCCTCGAACTCACAGAGACCTGCCTGCCTCTGCCTCCTGAGTGCTGGGATTAAAGGTGTGTGCCACCGCCGCCCGGCCTAGGCTCTGGGATTTTTATCAAAAGACCATTTTAGAATTGGAGCAACAAAGATAGAACTACGCAACGAGGAGAAAGAGACACAGGGTAGCTTCAGAAGGGCTCTGGGTCAATACCTAGCTGCTCTAGGCATTTATTCAAAAGGGCTTTAAAAAAAAAATCGTACCTTGTGCAGTCAAAGTGGAAAGACCCTCCTATAAAGTCTGTAGGCCATCCTTTTACACTGACACCCCATTTCCTTGTTCCCCATATCACCCTACATCCCCTCATTTCAAAGAAAGTTAGGGCTACACGGATGGACAGAAGACAACGTTCAACAGGTTTGAGCGTAGGTTTTATAGGGCCACCAGCTGGATCGGGGTATCAGATTGGCCTGTAGTCATGTCTGAGAGGAATTAACTTGATTGATGACTGACCTGGGAGGGCCAGGCCCTCTGTGAGCCTGGGTTGTATAAGAAAGCTAGCTGAAGATGGGCACTGTGGCCCATGTCTTAATCCCAGCACTTGGGAGGCAGAGGCAGGAGGATCTCTGTGAGTTCAAGACCAGCCTGGTCTACAGAGTGAGATCCAGGACAGGTTCCAAAACTACAGAGAAACCCTGTCTCGAAAAACCAAA